AAAAAAAAGAAAAAGAAAAAGAAAAAAAGAAAAGATGTCATAATTTGGATAATAATAATAGAATCAAGAGGAAGATATGAGAAGAAACATTGCAAAAAAGGACACCAAAAATAAATAGTGAATAGATAAAATTTTGGGGGAAAGAAAAGAAGAAATAGACAAAATATAATGTAAATTCTAACCAAAAATTGAAATGTTAATTTAGGCTCAATTACAATACCTGAATGGCATCCTTTGAGAAATAGCGCCCATCACCAGAAACAACAAGCGTAGCACCTAAAGCATGAAAGAAAAATTAGGCACAAAATCACAAAACAAATAATGAATAAATAATTGGCTGATACTGACTTGATTAATCCAATTCAGGAAGCAAGTTAGGAATGAAAACCTTAGGAAGCAAAATAAAGCAAAAATAAATTAATCATATTAAAACCCAAAATACTCTTTCAAGAGAAAAAAGGATCTTCAATAAGCTCTGCCACAAGAGCTGGTTAATCAACTATTTAAGTCAAGAAAGCATGTCTTTCACTTAAAACCATAAACCATTTTTTATTTTCATGGTAGTAAGGCATAAAGAAGTAGTAATAAATCCATTTTGATGGAGATATGGGATGTAATTAGTAGCTATAAACCTAAAACCACATTCTTTGCTTGGAGTTTAAGAAGAATATCAGTAGTTTGGCGAAAAGCCTTCATTCTAGAATTCTGATGCTCATAGAAAAGCATCACAACTAGAACTGGCAACAAATTGCCTTTCAACACCACATAGGCCAAAATAGCACAGACCAGAGTTATAGAACATAATCATATATTTTACACCAGCTTTAAAAGTTCAAAATATGAGCATCATGTTATGAACCACGTTAAGAAAACAATACAACCAAGAAAATAACTTGTCATAAATTGATGATACTTCTAATGATGAAATTAGAACATTTTGTATAACTACATGCAAGAAAATTTCATATTTCCCAGCTATTATACTTAGTCCATATATGTTTTCCTAGCATGGAGGTAGCCTCATGAAGGGTGGATGAATAAAGCCAATCCTCTGGATTCTGATTCTAAGTGTAGACTTTAAGCTGCATGTCAAATATCTAACAGATAAATATAAATACTTAAATTAGACTAGGTTTCACCTGAAAGCTAACTTCAGAAGTTTAAAGCAAAAAGACAGTAGAAAGCACGGGTGGGTTTGAAATTTTACACCACAATAAGAAATGTAAATTCTCTAGAAACAAGGCCAAGATAAAAAGCAAAAAATTAGCCACACTCTACCTCTAACTTTCTGCTCTGTGAGGGCATAGAAGGTGGATTGAACAAAATTGTGTAAGTAATTAGGTTGTGTAAAAACTTTCACCTGAAAAACCAAAACAACAGAGCATTAAATTAAGGATCAACTCCATGATAGACAGAAGAAATTCTTAAGAAAATATAAATCATTTTGTTCATATATATGTCATCTCAAGTAGTATGATGCCCAACATGTCACAAGTCATTTTATGAAAGAAATAGAAATATTAATAATCACATGAACAGGAACAAAAAATGACTACAAATGAAGTCCAATAAGAAAGATCTTAAATAATAAGATTACAGAGGATGGCTAAAATATACAATTTTCTGAACAGTTGAGTAATAAATGGCAAAATCTGACAATCGAAGGCACCCATATCTTGTACTCATACAAACATACAAAGATAATTTTTTTTTTTAAGGAGTGGAACTTAGAAGAAATAAATTTCATTAGTATGAACAAAATTAAAGCTTATGGAAGAAAAAGAAAACAATTGAAAACTAAGCTAGAAAGTGACTCCAAACAGTCACAGATCTGGTTCAGTAGGAAAATGAATCAAAAACATTTCAAAACGCATTCATGCAGCTATCAAATGCGAGATTCAGATTTCAGATCGACAGGATTTCACGCTTACAGATCTGTTACATTCGGAAGACTAAAACGCTCAAATCAATCGATCAGAATCAAATCTAACAATCAAGAATCCTGATTGGGATTAAGAAAAAAATTGAGACCTTCTTGCGGAGACCGGAAGTTCCAGGCTTCTGGCCGTCGATCGGCGTCGTCTCAACTCTCGAGATCTTAAACATCAACATTGTTTCTGTACAAGAATAGCACCACAGCGCAGTTGAAACAGAATCAGTGTACAGGAAAAGCAAAGAAGAAAGTGAAATTTGTGCACCCAAACCCCTTGATTTCGTGTCGACAACAGAAGTCCCTTCGAAACCGCTGTGCTTGCAAGGGTTTTCAACGTTGTCGGCCTTGAGACCAACGGAGCGTAGTACGAAATGAGATGGAACTAGAAGAAGAAAGCAGGGTGCGGAGCGAGGTGGGTAAATGGAGAGAGGAAAATGGATTTGGAGTATTGAAAATGGAAATGGATTCTTGATTTTGACTTTGCGGGTTGTAACTAAGCATTTAAAAATTAAAAAAATTAAATTGTGGAGACTTAACGTGCCAGGTGGGCACTTCCGTCATGGAAGGGCCAATTTAGTTACGGGAAAATAAACTTTAAGGACGATTTGGGTCCCTTTTGAAGTTAAAGGACGAACTAAGTTCAGAAATGAAAGTTTAGGGACCAAATTGGGTATTTAACCATAACAGATCGATTTTCCCGCACAAAATGGCATATTCCTTGGGTGTGTGTGATATGCAAACGTATTCTCCTGTCCCGTTATATTTTTTAATTTATTAAGAAAAAATATAAAATTTTGAAAAAAAATAATATAAATGTATAATAAAAAATTATATTAAAAATATATTACATTAATTATTTA